ATTATTATATTATCTATTAATTAAATAAATATAAATATAAAAAATTTTTAAAAAATGAAAAAAAAAGTGAAAATGTAAAAAAAAAAAAGAAGTTTTGACTAAGTTGACTGGGTCAAATTTTGACTGAGTTTGACCTTCAATGGGTAAATACCATCACTCGGCTCGTTTTTAGAATCAAGCCAGACTCAATTGATTGAATTGACCAAGCTAAACCGGGTTTCAAAACAGTGGTTTAATATAAGGTTTGTCTTTTTTGGGATAGGTAAAGTGTTTATGTTTAGGAGTTTAATATAAGATTTGTCTTTTTTTGGGATAGGCAAAGTGTTTTTGTAATGGTTTGTGTGTAATTTTTATGCTAATCTCTCTTCAATTAATTTCAGAGGTGCAATATTACATTGGTTTAATACATTTAATGATTAATTTCTTTGAATATTGATTTAAAAATTTTAATTTTAAACATGTTTTACAAGACAATACCTATTTGGTAGTGACTCGGAGAGTTTTGAGTTAGATCTACCAAAAGCATGATCTAATGCATTGGTGGACCAAACAGGCAGGAACTTTTGCCATGTCTAGAGTGGTACCAAAAAGTTGACCTAGTGCATTAGTGGACCAAAATGGAATATACTAATGTTCAGGCTGGGTCACTCTTTAATTGTTTTTAGTAGCAGTTTGTTTCTAAGTTTCACTGGCAAATTTGTTAGGCCAAAAGCAGAGCCCAACTAAATTGGTGGATAAGATTAGAATGCCAATTCGTTACTCTCAAATCTCAATCCCGAAGTAAATAATATTAAAATTAGAAAATAAATTTTTGAATTACAGATGCAATTTGAATTACATTGAATTAATTTATATTAAACTAGAAAAATTAGTGTATCAAACCAGCTGCATGGTACCTTTTTTTTTAAAAATAGAGCCGACTTATCGCATACTGCAGCTGCCATTCAATACAAATATTGTCACAACTCTTAATTACTTAACAAAAAAGCAGGACGAACCCCCCAAACTTGCAGTCAGAATATAACACACGGTGGGAGACAAACGCAAGGGAACTGCCACAAAATTTGAAAAATCAAATACCATAACACTGTAGATTATCTCATCTTCAAATAGGTCTTCACATTGCATCTGTCACCTACCAACCCCATCTCGTTCTTTCCCAAACATGGCATTTCTTTATTGGATCCCCACAACCTTCCCCTAATCGCCCTCTATCTCGATCCTTTGTCATTCATTGAACAAGACCCCATATAGAATGGCGGTCCAAATGAACATTTACTTTGCTTCGTGCCAACTCAAGTTGCCGAGTCCCTTCATAGCGGTATACTTTTGACATTACATATTCCCTCAAACAAAGACCAAGAAAAGAAGCTTCTGCTTACATCAATATGTTCTTCTAAATATAAGTATCATCAATCCTCTTCAATCTCCTTACCATCTATACTATCTACGAAATTATCCTCTTTTTTTTTTTTTTTTTTAGTTTATATTATATCTCAAAGGGATAGAACAGGGTAGATGAAGGGGAAGAGGAAAGGGGAGATGGATGACGCCGCGCAAGGTGGGAAAGCTGAAGGGGTATCCAAAAGGAAGAGCAAGAAGGCGGTGGAGAGCAAGGAGGAGGATGGGAAGGAAGAGGCGGCGTCCATGACGATGGAGAATGTGGTTGGGTGGGAGGAGTGGTGGCCGTGGTTGAGTGGCGTGGCGGATGAGCAAATGTCATGGGGGTGCGTGTGGTCGCCGTTATGGGATATGGATTTTGTGGACACGGCGTATGATGATCTATTTAGTGATGTTGTGTGGGATGATGATATCTGGAACTTGAGGAGCATCAATGAGGTTCCCAAGCCTTGAGAAAAATGTTAAAAAGAAAGAGTTCAATGAAAACTGAAAAAATTCACTTTCTGTTTTTTAAGTCTTTTGTGTTTTTTGTTATAAATCTTTCTGATTTGGGTTGCATGTTCAATTCCAGCAGAGAATGATGGAGGAATAAAATAAAACTACAAATTATGCTTCAGTTAATACAGAATTCATTCACAATGAAAACACAAATTTTATTTCAATCCAGAACAATGTCCATACTTGATTAGCATCAAACAGGAAGAACAAAAATTCTGAAATGGAAGATGAACCCAACAACAAACAAAAGCATGGAATTTAGAAGCCCTTGGGCTTGGAGGCAATGAAACTGATGCACTGGACTTGACGAACGTTGTCGAATCCGATGATACGGACGAATGCTTGTGGGTATGCCTTCTTGCATTCCTCCACCTCCTTCAACACCTGGGATGAATCAGTGCACCCAAACATGGGGAGCTTCCACATGGTCCAGTAGCGGCCATCGTAGTATCCTGGGGTCCTGCTGTTCTCACGATAAACCCATCCCTTCTGTTTCAAGAAAGCATTAAAAATGTAAATAATGTATCCTTTTGATGCTAAATTGACTATATAATGTTACTTCTGCTAGAAAGATTTATGCCTCGATTAAAAGCCTGTTTGGTCTAACTGTAACTTGTCACTGGAACTAAAATTAGACACTAACAACATCATGGTAAGTTAAAGCTATTAGTAGGAGAAAGAAGAGATGAAGCATGTAACCTCCAACTCAAATTCCAAGCAAGGAACCCATTTCGAGCGGAGAAGGTAGTCGACTTCCCTAGCCAATTGTTCTGGGGAGAGATCCGGAAGGTATGAGAGAGTTTCGAACTTCTTCTTTCCAAGTGGAGGCCACACCTACCCTCAAAACCCAGATTTTATGAGAAGCCGCAGCTTTCTTAGCCCAGCGATGCGTCTAATAATAAATACTACCAAGAGAAACAACAAGAATTAAGGTCTTTTTGGTTACCTGCATGCACTGAGCTCTGTAACCATTGTTGGCCAACGAGGTAATGTCATTGCTGAGCCGGCGGGTCCCTGGAAAGGAAGCGGTGGACTTGAGGCCAACATATGGGGCGACCACGGTGGCCTGAGCCGGTGAGGCTCTGTTGACGGAGGTCACTGCGGCTGATGAGACTATGGATGCCATGACTCTTCTTCCCTTAGCTACAAACGGAGTCTTTGTGTGGTTATGATCAGTTTAAGAGGCCATAGCACTGCAACTTTATCCTGTACTTATAGGCAAACCGCACAAGTCTGTCATGTTTTTGAGTGAGATTTTACCCATTTTGCATCAAGTGGTCTCAAATTGAAGTGGGAAATCTTAGATATTTTCTAGCCCCCTGATTCTGGTGGACGGACATTAGACCCTGATGGCCACATAATGAGTGGATGTTGGTTTCCAAGCCTTATCGTTAAGTGCTCCACTTGTTGTGCCACGTGGCAAAAGCCCATTATCTTATCTCATCCGAGGAATGAGGACTAGAATTTGCGATGGTTCTTTGCCCCGTGTCATTTCTTGGCCTTTCATTTCTAAGTCTTTAAGTATTGTGAAGGTTAGAAGCCATCGTTGCTGTAATGATGGAGTTGAAACTTTTATTTCAGTATCAGATTGTGGCAGTGAGCTTGAATTTAGGTCAGAATTTGAAATTTCTTTCTTCACATTTTCTTCTCATGTAATCTCAACTTAAAATCCTTCACCCCATCATGACTTTGGCTTCAGGGACATCATTTTTTTTGAATGAATCCAAGTCTTGACCATTCAAATATAAGTTTTAAAGAATCTTGAACCAGTGAATTAAGGGACTGTAATCTTAATTGTCCAACTTCAAGGGTAACACTGAAGGCTTTATGAATACTTTGCTTTTGTTATGTCATGTAATCTGAGATTCTGACTGAAGTTTGCCGTCTTACTTTTGTTTTTTTTTTGTTACTGTTATAAAGATAGACAATTAAGGGCTGAAATTCTTCCTGTCCCTTGCAAAAGAGTTTACTGATGGATGAGTGTCACAATTCAAAACAATGTCCCACTTAGAGTTAAGAATGACTAGTACATGAAGGTGATTTCTGGTTTTCTTCCCTTATCTTCTAATTTTTAATTTTAAGTTGCTAATTTAATGAAAATGTCCTTACATTTTTATCATTATCTTAGGATGTTGAGTTCATTAGATAGAGGGACAGAAAGAGAAACTAAGTTGATAAACCTATTGATGATAAAAGGACATAATCTGATATACTTTGCTCTTTTATGTGCATTTGGTCCTTCTATCATACAAAAACTCAATAACAAGATCAGAGAATTGGGTCACAGATAATTTGCTTGGAAACATCAATGTGAGTACTAAATTCAGTAGCCTGGAGGCTTGTAAGCAATGAAGCTGATGCATTGGACTTTTCGCTTGTTGTCAAATCCAATGATCATGATGAATGCACTAGGGTATGCCCTTCTTGGCTTCCTCCAGCTCCTTAAAACACCTGTGATGAATCAGTGGCTGAAAATTCTGAGACCCCTCAACCATCCTTTAGTAAATTAATCTGGCATTTATTAGAGCAGCTTTATTGTTGTTGTGACTTTGGCACCATATAGAGTTCTTGTTTGGAATTGCACACCATTGTAGTGTTGGTTCTTCTTCACAAATTTGCTGGTTGGGGTCCATTTTAGTTCGAGAGGACTAGAAAAAAGTCGATAAATTTCAGCAGAATTTTGTGGCTGCAGGAGGCAGCAAAAGCAATGGTGGTAGGCTTGTAGCTAAGGCAAAACTTTTTTTGTGATTGAAAATGTTTATCCCTTTATTAATACTTTTCGGTCTTGGCACTTGCGTATTCACATCGTTTTCCTATTTCGACTTTGTTACACAACAGTTTGAAAAGTACGATTCACCGTGATTTCAATGCAAAATGCATTTTTAATCCAGCCACAAACTCTAGGGCTAGCATTGTTGATAAAACTTCTCACCCCATGTCATCAAAGATAAGATCACAGCTAAGTCAATAGAATTTGGTTTTATATATATATATATATATATATATATATATATATATATATATTTGAATGATTTATAATTTAAGATAAAAAATTCAAATCTCAACTTTAAAATTGAGAGATACACTTTATAACTGAATATAAAGTTATTAGATCACAAAATTCAAGTGCGAATTTAGTTTAACATTTTAAAGTTATTTCATTCAAAAAATTGTATTAAATCACCAACAAAAACTCAATCAAATTAATTTTATTACCTTCAAAACATTGTTTTTAAAATTGAGATTAAGGGTTTTAAAATGCATATATGAAGTACAGAAAAATAAAATAGCGTCCAAGTATTGGACTGATTAGTCACTTCATTCTCCGGGCATATACAAGAAGTTCGAGAAATTTCCACGTTAGCACCACGTCGTCGCTGACTGGGTGCCACGTCCTTGCATCCTGTTGAACAGGGAACCAACCACCTCAGATAATTCAATGCGGGCTCTGACTTTCGTCTCAAGAAAGTGGGCCGGTGCCTGCTCAATGGGCTAACAACGCAACTAGTGCAAAACATAGCTCAATAGGCCGCCTTGGCCCCTCCTGTATAACCCATTGGGTCCAAACCTATTAAGCTCCACTCATCTCACCCCACCCCCTTTTTGCTAGCCCGTGGAACTGTATAAGATTGGGTATCTGTAAAAAGCTGGCCCAGATTTTTACTTTCAATCTATGTTTTTTTTTCAAAAAAGACAAAAGAAAAAGGCGATTATTTTTTTACCATCGCGTGGTTTAAACGCAGATGCCATACGCGTGGGTCTAAAGTTCTTTACTTTCCCAAAATTAGCTTTGTTGCTTTCCACCCCGCTGCGAACAAAGCTGGTTCTCACTGGCAAGTGGCTCACACCTTTTTTCCACTTCCAATTCAAGAAGCTCACATTCTCTATAGTTCTGAACTCAAAGAAGAGATGGGTGAGGGAAAAGGCTCGACCTTGGTGCACCTTCTAGCGGTGGCCCTCTGCCTGGTGGCCTTTGGGTTCGCCATTGCTGCCGAGAGAAGAAGAAGCATTGTAAGCCTTCATTTTTCTGTTCTTTCTGCCCTGTTTCAAGATACTTACTTCACAATTATAACTATAACTGAGAGCACTTCTATTTTTCCTGTTATTCATCTTCGTTGCTTTAATAACAGTGTTCTAATATCTATCTTGGAATGTTAGTCTGTTTAACTATATAATATTTGAGTGTATGGAAAATTGTGGCTCTGCAGCAGGTAATGTGTAGAGATCTGAGTTTAAAGGATGAATTGGGTTTTGAAGATTAGATGATTTGGTTTTAGTTAAGTGCTTTGTGTAATGGGATGTTATAAGCTAGATTAACATTGGCTCTATAAACATTGTTCCTTTAATCAAAGGAAAAGTTGTGTAGCTAACTCCAATTATGTTCATTATTTAAGGTAATTGGTTCATTTATATCTTAGGGGCAGCTCTAATCTTTAGATAGGTTCTGTGTTCTCTAGCTGATCACAATATTCTTCATTTCTTGTTCACCCTTGTCGCACTCATATCATTATATCAACTCATTGATCTAAACAGACTAGACTGCTATTGGTTGAGTTTACTTTTGGTTTCTTTTCTCTGCCAGCTTGGATTTATTATTTTACTGTACAATTGTGAAGGTGATATTTAATTTGAGAGAATCCTTAGAGAATTACTCATCAAATGTAAACATTTTTTTCCCCATAAGATTAGAACTACCTTATCTTTTTCAAATTTACCTCGCAAATTCTTGTTATCAAACTATCTTTGTTGTTCAAGATCATAGATCACCTTGTATTATTCGATGTTGGTGTTAAAAACTAGGCATGCCTAGTGTATTGCTAGTCCTCTGTAATTGAGTTAACATTAGTGAATTATAAGGCCACAAGTTACCCCTCAAACTTTAAGGTCAATCTCATTTACCCTCTTCCCTGATGATTTTGCATGTCAGTTATCTGCTAGACTAGTTGATTACAGCTATAGTCTTTTCTTCTTAAAAAAAAAAAAGGAATCTCAATAAGTACTTTTTTCTCCTACTTTCTGATGAGAAGGAAAAAAGAGGAAAAGAAATACCTTTTTGGAACTATGGCTATGGAGTAAGATTTTTTTGACTCTTAAAAATTACTATTGCTGTGAACACATTCAACCAGATGGAATGTTAAAGAAATCACCTTAATTTAGGTAGTCATAGTTGTATATGTAATCTGCATCATTGTTTGACGATAAAAACTTTACACATATTCTTGTGGAATATTTCTTAGCCTACTCACTTCTCTTCTATGGATCATAACGATAATTTTCTAGTTCTCCTGCAACTTTATTGATAGTTTTGACATTGCTGAAATTGGAAGTTTGGAATTCTGATGTGGGGTTGGATGATGGCCCTGGGGCTGTTCTACCTCAATAGCTACCTTTTTGGGTTCTCTTATTGTCTCACATCCTTAATTGAATAACATTGGTATAAGATGTTCTCTGTGGTCTGAGGCGTATGAATATAAACTGCACAGCATTGTTGATTTTTTGTTTAATGTAATAAGAACTTTTAAGCTGAGTGTCTCAAATCTCAATAACTTGTGTGCCAGGTATAATTTTATCTAGTTTTTATGCATCATATACCATATATTAATGTCAAGTGACCATTATTCTTCTGCATTGCAGGGCACCGTTGTGAAAGATGAACCATCAAATGCTACGTACTGTAAATACAACTCTGATGTTGCCACTGGCTATGGAGTGGGTGGTTTCTTATTTCTTCTTTCAAGTGAATCACTACTTATGGGTGTCACTAAGTGTATGTGTTTTGGGAGACCCCTAGCACCCGGTGGGGATCGAGCTTGGTCCATCATCTATTTTGTTTCATCATGGTAAATATTTTAAGTTTCATAAGATCTCTGCTACTTGCATTTGAAGAATCAACAGGAACCACACAATTCTGAGAACCTCCTTGCTTTCTGTTCTCTGTAACTTGCTATATTCACATACAATACCTATTTGACTGATTGATTTATAAATGATTCTCTCTCTTGGTCAGTTTATATGTTTGTGCACGTATGTTTGTTTTAAACTGAAATTAGTGTAAGGGAATTGATATTTTGTACTGCTTTGAAGATAATGAAGTTTTTACGCAATGGCATTTGCAGGTTGACTTTTCTGATTGCTGAAGCATGTCTGCTTGCGGGTGCAACAAGGAATGCATATCATACCAAGTACCGGGAAATGATTTATGCTCAGAATTTCTCTTGTGAGACATTAAGGAAAGGTGTTTTTATTGCAGGAGCTGTGTTTGTGGTAGCAACAATGATTCTCAATGTATATTACTACATGTATTTCACCAAGGCAACTGCCACACAATCTGCTAGCAAAACCAACCGTTCAGGTTCAAATGTTGGGATGACTGGGTATGCATAGAACCAGCTAGTGGTACTAGGGAGGCAAGTTTTACTTTCTTGGTGTCATGAGTCTATTTGCATGTGTACCATGACAGTATACTACTACTATGTATTGCACAATGCTTATGTAGTGATAACTGATAAGTAATGCTGTTATGACTGAGCCCCTGTTATTAATGGAAACATGGGAAGTGCTGGATGAGAGATAAAAATTCTGGGGAATGTTATACTCAACAAGAACAGTAGAGAAAAACTGATTACAGGCTTTTTGAGGTGAATTCCATTCCCGGTTGTTAAGAGAGTGAAATTGGGGTTGGCTAAAGTAGGAAATATCTTTTGTTGTTGATCAGCTAATTTCTTGTAAGGACTAGTAGGATCATGGAGTCTGGGGAGGGACAAAAACACGCTTAATGGTAACCAGGTCACAAAAATGAGCCTTGTAAAAGGAAAAATTGAAAATGTAGAAGAAAGACCTTTTTAGAGGATTACATTCAAAAGAATGAAAGGTATTTATGATGCAATCACAATAAAATAAGAGTTTTTTGTTTTGTAATAGAGACTGTCTCAAATTACAAAACAATAATAATTAAATGTAAAGAACCTTTAATATTAAAAGATTTAATTTTTATTTAATAATTATTGTTATACAGTTTGGATTGTATAAAATTTTCTAAACAAATAATACTCAACTACCACCCAAGTTGATCCCACACTTGGTGACTTACTGACCATTCCTTACGGAATGTGCATAAAACTAACGAACTTAGAATCAAATCCCAGATACTCCTTCCCCCTTCTCCGGAAAAGTTTCACACTATTAAAAAAAAACTACCACCCAAGCTATGCTGACGAAATAAGGGGAAAAAAGTGCGGAAAATGTCAGAAAGAAAGAGGCGGGAGTGAGGTGAGGCCAACTGGCCAAGTAGAAAAGAAAAGGGCAAATGCAATACAGGAGAGCTTAAGAGGATTAGAGGATTAAAGAAGCAAAGCAACCAAAGGAAAAGGCAAAAACCAAATAAAAATTTAGTTGTAATAGACAGAGTGGGTACAGAGTTCAAGTAGAAGAGAAAAGTTTTCCACTTTATTGCCTGCAAGCAGAGGATCCATCAGATTTGCCTTTTCCCCTTCCACACTTGAAGTTTGGCTGCCTTTCCCCTTTTTCCAGTGACAGACAAATTACAAAACAGAACTTCCATTTTCTCTTTCTGGAACTTCCAAAGACAATACAAATGTGCTTCAACCAAACATAGTTTAAAATTGTTAATTTTTTTTATTTTAATTGTATAATAGAAGTAATTAATTATATTTTATCTCTTATCCAATTTCACTTGTATGTTATATAATTTGAATTTTTTTTTATTTTTAATAAAAATAATAATAATTGAGATACTTAAATAATTGATAAAATTATCAAAATTAATTACATAATTTCCATTTATACCCTAATTAAGGATATGACCCCAAACTCCAAAAGTTAAGCACAAAAAAGTGAAAAACTCAAATCCTACGACTTTAGTTGGAAAGAAAGGAGGGAAAATAAATAGTCTGGACGGTAACTCAGATTTGGTGTTTATGAATGGCTGGTTTGGCAGGTGAAGCGTAGCAAAATTATTTGCGTCGAAAGGACGCTTACTTGAATTTTGTCGTACTCCTACGTACCGCAGGCTTTTTGAAAATTCATATCTGTCTGTATTTGATTCCATTGGATGTTCGTAGTACTCGTTCATCGTGCCCCATTCCTCTTCAAAATTCATATCTTTACTGTACAGTGCCCCTTAGCTCTTGTTTGGTTAAAGGAAAATAAATGTTGGGGAACATTTATTGTAATGTAGCCCCAAAAACATATGTATATATATATATATATGTATATATAGAGTAAGGTTTTACTTATATAAAAATTTTATATATTATATTTATATAAAATTTTAATAATTTATTTTTTTTATTTTTAATGCTTCTTAGCTCTTGTTTGGTTAAAGGAAAATAAATGTTGGGGAACATTTATTGTAATGTAGCCCTAAAAACATATGTATATATATGTATATATAGAGTAAGGTTTTACTTATATAAAAATTTTATATATTATATTTATATAAAATTTTA